TGCTCACAAGGAAGCTATTAAACCAAGAGTTCCAAATGGTGAAGTTGAAGTCATCCCTTCGTAAATTTTATGGACGCCATCACGAGTTGGTTGACCGTTATGGAATAACCGTTTCACAGATGATATCGGATATGTTCTTTATGTCGTAACTACAATACCCTTCCCTTTTCACGAATGTGACTTACCGAATTAGACTATTTACCGGATTTGTAATAACATAAGCAACTCGACGGGTGCCGCATGTGGAGCAGGATCTGTTTACCCTTCCGGAGCACCTGAGATCACCCCCAGTTTTTGGTGGGATTCGTGTTGCTTAGTCTAGTTTTCTATGTTGTGTCATCTGTACTATTATTTGTCTGTTAGTCTTTTTATTTTTGGCCATGACGTTGTCAGTTTTTTTTCGATCTATGAGTTTGACTGTCCCTCTGGTATCTTTCGTCCCTCTTTTGTAAATTGAAGACAGAGCAATCAACTTTCAATGACTTTTTAATTTCTTTTCCTTAACAGTTATTCAAATATGATGACAAAGTTGATGCATTTTTAGAATTGACGAAACTAATATCATTCACCTATTTCTATTAACATAATAATGATAATTGCTAGGTTATCAAGTTGAAAAGGGGATTGCCAAATTTTAATGTTAGAACAATTGAAATTGAACATATAACGGTCATGACTCAACTAAAGTATGTTAAAGAAATTGGCCTTATATATTATAGCCTGAAAGCTCATTAAACATGATATAAATTAATTCAATTCAATTCAATATTTATTGGAAAGAGCACAATAGAGGCGTGATCCAAATACAGACAATAATAATATTAAAAAAAAAACATAAATGAAATATAGATGCCTGTTACAACAAGTCATAAGTAAATTCTATGAATACCATAACATTCTAAGTATATTATATGAATACCATTACATTCTAAACTCATATTGATACCATACACATATACATCACGAGTACTCTAAATTTTCATAATTTTACTTAAAACACACAATCACCTATATAAGATGTATGTGTATATGCACAAACTACTATAAAGGATTATTATCTGATGAAACAGTATGGTGGTCTCTCAAATCAAGAGCTTCTTCAATATACATACAAATAGACTAGTTTTTTTTCAGACATAGGATTAAAGAACCATTGTGAGAAAACTTACACCCCCCCCCCCCCCCCCCCCACACACACACACACACACACACATTGTAACTGGGCAATCAAAATCACTGAAGTTCAAAGACATCAACTCATCACTGTTAAGTAACTGACCAAATGTTAAGTCATTCTATTTAGTTGTTTTTTGAAATGATTGTGACACAAATTTCTAAGTTCAATCAGCACATGAAAAATTCGTCAGTAAACTCTACCTTCTAAATCTTGCAATTAGTCACGCCAATGAGTTCTTTTTTCTTTTCTCTTTTATGCCTGTTAGATCCAGAAAGGAACCATGTTTCTTGATTGATTTGTAGCAATTGTTCAAGTTTGGTGTCATCACTTTTAAAAAGTGCCATCTTCATTGCTTCAGGGTTATCTTTAATATTTTTAGAACAGTCAACTCAACACGTTTTTTCACTCCTTCTATGAATCTATTACCTAAAAAAAACAGTAATTTAAGTAGAATTTGCAGATCCTGTAGTACAATTACATGTATATACTTTTTGTTTTGTTTTTAAGCAATCAGAACTAATAAGTAGGACATTTATATCTCCAAAATAAGAAGATTTGTTCAATGACACGTGGGATAGTCTCCACCAATTAAACATTGATTATATCAATATGTATCAACATGGGAATACATTGTTTTTATGTAGAGACTATTTATCTGCACCTCGACAAATTTTTGTTCCATAACCTGTACACAAAATAGTTGTGGTTTAATGTCCTGTGACATGCTGTCGTACATTCTTTTACACGATAAACTAATAACGAATACGGAAAGGATAATTTTCCTAGGGTTACATTTAATTTATGTCACCTTGACCTGCTGTCGACGGATTTGAACGCCGTATATCAAGTTAGGATTGTGTATATTGCACAGCAGGAAGTACAGACTTAAAATTGAAATGTTTTAAATTATATTTTGAGAAGATGTGAATTTCAATTTGAACAATATTCTAAAAAAGTAATTCTTGATCTACAATAAAATATGCATCTTAATGATTTGTTCAACTGCCATATAACATGAACACATGTATTAATATTGTTGAGCCGATATGGTACAAGTAGAATAAGTATATGTAGTAAAACAGGGAATTTATAAAAAAAAAATGACCATACAATTGATATTCATGTCAACACCGAAGTGCTGACTTCTGGGCTGCTGATACCTTCAGGGATGAAACGTCCACCAGCAGTGGCATCGACCCAGTGGTATAAATAGTTATCAAAGGTACAGGGATTGTAATTTAATACGCCAGACGCGCGTTTCATAATTATCAGAAATTGTTTTTGACCTTTTCTTGTTATAATGGAGGCCGTCATGGATGATGGACGGGAAATTTGAACTGCCAATGGAAAATGAGGGTATATTGGATAGGGAAATAAATTTTACCTTGCAACAGGCCACCTTCGGACCCCTCAAAGTGTTGTTGCATGAGTACTTAACGTGCAAAGAGCGTGGCACTCCCTTTATACGAGGCATCGGATTGAACGTCCCCATTCTAACGTCATGGCTGCAAACTTGATACATCCCGCACAACTAAACAGCCGCCCCACTTTGGAAAGAGTTTTACTGCCAAACGGAAGAAGACCAAGTGGCCATATTCCTATTCAACCTTGGGATTATGATATATGTATAAGTTCTGAATATGCAGATATTGAAAGAATAATAATCCAAAATTGAGGCAAAGAGTAAATTTGGAAGACGGTTATGCAGGGAAATAAGAACAATGAAAAGAAATGCGAAAAAGAAAACTAATTGTCTTCATTGGAGGGAAAATAATCATGCAGTTAGAAGGAAACAGTATTTTCAAAACAAGTAGTTTAAGAGTGCAAAAAAAACCCCAATGAAGGCTACGGCAAAAGAACAACGAAAAACATGCATATTTTGTTGGTAACAAGCCTTTTAAAAATTGATGACAACTCTTTAAAATGAGTTTGAATTGTCTATTACTGTGATTTACATGTATAATTATTAGAAAAATCTTTTAATTTCGTTTTCTGTTTTAATACTTGGCAAAACTATTTCAATCCAGCTATCGTTTTGTTACCTTACATATATATATGCACCAAAAAGATTTTCTTTTGTAAAGTTAAGACATTCAAGGTTATAGCACCCCGCTCGTGCGGGTGCACTCGACTCCAATCTTAATTGACTAGGATTGTCAGTTTCCTATCGAAGGTCGGTGGTTTTTTCCGGGCACTCCGGCTTCCTCCACCAATAAAAACTGGCCGCCACGAAAAGGCCCAAAAGCGGTGCTTAAAAGTGGCGTTAAAACACCAAAAATCAAATTAAGGTTATAGCTTTGCCATACGTGGATTCTTAAAAATTCTAAAGAACTTCTGGATAATTTTAAATTTTGGTCTTTTTCTGAAATAAGTTCTAAAAAACTTTTGATTTTCAACCCACCATTCCCCATGTGAAATTCTAATTTGGAAAATACTTTGAACGACAAAATTATTATATATTTCTTTCTGTGTGACGTTTACATTTTTTGGCGAGGCATCGGATTTAACGTCCCCATTCTGACCGGACGTGGCTGCAAATTTGTACATCCCGCACAGCCAAACGGACGCCCCACTTTAGCACGGGTTTTACTGCCGGTCGGAGGAAGACCAATGGTGACCATACTTTTATTCCCCAGTCACCCTTGGGGGCTGTCAAAAATGAAAGTGGCCGCATCCGTGTTCATCCTCAACCTTTATATATGTTATGTATTATCATCAAATAGAACTTACATTTCAATATTATGAATGAACACGAATGCGGCCACTTTCATTTAAGATGGAAACCATCTAAAATCTAACCAAAATGCTAAAATTGTGAAGATTTCAGTAATTTAGCATGACTTCATGATGCTAGTACCCGATATATGTGCATTGTATTGTCAAAAACAGTCCATATTTATGTAGCAGAAGCATTCTACTTTACAATAAATAGCTAAAAGATTACATTTTCAAAATTTTGTAAAACTGCTATATTTTGGGGCCAAAAAGGGGTCTTATTGAACCTACTCCTTTGGATTGTATAGAATATTTGACATATAGGTTTCTGAATAAATGTAGTCAAAGAACTTGAAATCTGTTATAAAAATTGAATTTATATTCAATTAAAGATTTCTTGCTGTGCTGTTGCTCAATACTTAGTAAATCTGTTGTCAGACTATAAACAAATAAATTTCAATAATTACTCAATGTTATATATCAAAAATTTAATAAAAAAAAACTATAGGGAGGTTATCTTAATAGATATAAATCAGACATCAAAGTTTAATAAAAACTAGAGGCTCTAAAGAGCCTGTGTCGCTCACCTTGGTCTATGTGAATATTAAACAAAGGACGCAGATGGATTCATGACAAAATTGTGTTTTGGTGATGGTGATGTGTTTGTACATCTTACTTTACTGAACATTCTTGCTGCTTACAATTATCTCTATCAATAATGAACTTGGCCCAGTAGTTTCAGTGGAAAATGTTAGTAAAAATGTACAAATTTTATGAAAATTGTTAAAAATTGACTATAAAGGACAGTAAGTCCTTAGGGGTCAATTGACCATGTTGGTCATGTTGCCTTATTTCTAGGTCTTACTTAGCTGTACATTATTGCTGTTTACAGTTTATCTCTATCTATAATAATATTCAAGATTATAACAAAAAACGGCAAAATTTCCTTAAATGACCAATTCAGGGGCAGCAACCCAACAACCGGTTGTCCAATCCATCTGAAAATTTCAGGGCAGATAGATCTTGACCTGATTAACAATTTAATCTCTTCATATTTGCTCTAAATGCTTTGGTTTTTGAGTTAGAAGCCAACAACTGCATTCTACCCCTATTTTCTATAACAATTCTTATTATCAATCCAATACTTTCTAAATACTACCTTTTGAACTTCTCCTCTCAAGTCACCATCTGCTTTATCTTCAATATTCCTTTCTCCAGCTTGTCCCACTAACGCATTGTACATAGCTGGAGAAAGGAATTTTGGTGATGGTCCTCCGTGTACAATGGATAGGGAAAAGAATAATCCAACATCTCTGTACAGATTGTCTTCTAGGGCTACAATAAAACAAAACTAAATATTTTGCTTAAATGTGATAAAAGATTTAAGATACATTAAATTTAACATTTAGAGGCCTTAATAGACATGATAGATGTCAAAGAATAAATTGTACTATTCATAACTATATATTATCAATCCCTGATGCAGTGATATAATATATATCATGTTTGTTTTGTGTTTCACAGACCTTCCAGAAATCAGAAGCAAAATGAAGGAAAACAAGAATGTGTCCCTAATACATGCATGCACCATCTGCATTATAATTTTCTGTTTAGTGGACCGTGAAAATGGGGTAAAAACTCTAATTTGGCATTAACATTTGAAAGATAATAACATAAGGTACAAGTATACTAAGTTTCCTCAACTTCATCAAAAACTAACTCAACCAAAAACTTTAACCTGAAGCCGGACAGACAGACGAATGAACGGACAGACGGAAGAACAAACGAACGAACAGACCAGAAAACTTAATGCCCATAAATGAGGCATAAACATGGACCTTCCCTTTAAAACTGTAACAAGTGTCTAGATCCCCAAAGTGTCCCCTATTGTAAATGGTGTGAGGGTTATTGTGAGAGATGGGTCAAGATCCCTAATGCACCAGCTCTAGATGAGGAACCCCAAGTAATGTGTAAAAGAAATCTCTGTGTATTGATATTGGACATGTTTCTATTTTTTACAAATGATTGAGCTTAACCATTTGTGGTGATAACGAAAGTAGAGGGACATAGAATAAATGTGTAAAATCTATGGAGCTATTAAAAGTTCAAAGAACTTATTGTGTTAAAACAGGGTTTGTTGACCACAAGGAGCCGCATCACGAAAGAATACTCTGGGTTTGCTAATTTACAGAAAAAGTAATCTCACTTCGTACCCTGAAAATTTAACCACAAATAAGAAAATGTCTCAGCTTCAAAACGAGCCATCATATATATATCCAAGTTAACGATATGGACTGAGCAACAGAAGAAAACGTTACCATTACGGCCTATGGAGAAACAATTGCAAACCTTGACCCAGATGATTGATAATTGAACATGACAAAATACCTCTCCATCCCTATAAAGTGGGAGACATAAAAAGGTAACTGTATAGAGAATACATGAAATTCCTTTTTTAATCTTTCACCAAGATGAGACAATATAATCATCAGTGATATTATTTGCCTTAAATTAGTGGAGAATAAAGGCTTTTTCCCCTGGAGAAGAATCCCAATTTGAAAAAATAATGGCTTAAAATTATTCCCAAAAAGACAATTTTTTTCCCAAACAGTGCTGTCTCAGTAGAAATGAATGAAGTGCATGAATACAAACTGAAAAACACTCATTTAAACATTTTTCATGCCTAAAATGACTATACTTGCAGATTTGAGGGTCTATTTATGTATCATCACTGACAAAATTAGGTCTTATTTTAAAGCAGGGTTTGACATTGAAGTTTCAGTCAAATACATGGTTAATTTAAATTTCCCAATTTGATGAAAATGACACATATTTTCCCAATAAAAAAGGGTAGAGGTAGTTTAGAAAAAGGCCAACAATATCACTGGAATCGTACCTGATGTACTATAGGCCAAAATTCTTCTGTTTTCAGGACCTTCAAAAATGTGCAGGTATTGGATCTTTTTCATCAGCATTCTCAAGAACTCTCTTTTTGGTCTACCTTCATCTATGGCACCTTCTGCGATTCCTACATCGTCCGTAAACTTCACACTTATCTTGCTTTTAGCACAGAAGGATTTCCTTTTGATGGCTCTCCGAGCACCATCTAAAACAAGGTTTCTGTTGATATTGAATTTCGTTATCTTCTCCAGGGCAACCTGTGACTGTAACTTTATTAATAACTCTGGCAAACTGATATCACTAAAATGAACAAAAAATAGTTGACACAACACAGGTTTCTGACACATAATGAATGTGGTCTAAGAACTTAAACTTAAAAACTTTAAATTTTAAATTGGACATTACCGATTATGGTCCAATATCTAAAATCAAAATACATGGTTAGATTCGGCATATCAAAGGACCCCAAGAATTCAATTTTTGAGGAAATCAAATAAAGTTCAATTTTGCACCCTTTAGACCTCAATGTGGACCAGTTTGATAACCGGGCCCAAACATCAAAAATCTAAATACATGGTTAGATTAAGCATATATCAAAGAACCCCATATATACAATTTTTGTTGAAATCAAACAAAGATTTATTTTTGACCCCAATTTGGACCAACTTGAAAATTTGGCCTATAATCAAAAATCTAATACATGTTTAGGTTCAGCATATCAAAGAACCCCAGGGATTCAATTTTTGTTGATGTCAAACAAAGTTAAATTTTGGACCACAATTTGGACCAACTTGAAAACTGGGCCCATAATAGAAAATCTAAGTACATTTTTAGATTCAGCATATCAAATAACCCCAAAGATTCATTTTTTGTTAAAATCAAACTTAGTTTAATTTTGGACCCGTTGGACCTTAATGCAGACCAATTTGAAAACGGGACCAAAAATTAAGAATCTACATACACAGTTAGATTCGGCATATCAAAGAACCCCAATTATTTAATTTTTGATGAAATCAAACAAAGTTTAATTTTGGACCCTTTGGGCCCCTTATTCCTAAACTGTTGAGACCAAAACTCCCAAAGTCAATCCCAACCTTCCTTTTGTGGTCATAAACCTTGTGTTTAAATTTCATAGATTTCTATTTACTTATACTAAAGTTATTGTGCGAAAACCAAGATTAATGCTTATTTGGGCCCCTTTTTGGTCCCTAATTCCTAAACTGTTGGGACCTCAACTCCCAAAATCAATCCCAACCTTCCTTTTGTGGTCATAAACCTTGTGTTCAAATTTCATTGATTTCTATTTACTTAAACTAAAGTTATAGTGCGAAAATCAAAAGAATGCTTAATTGGGCCCTTTTTAGCCCCTAATTCCTAAACTGTTGGGACCAAAACTCCCAAAATCAATCCCAATTTTAGTGCAATTTAAGTATACATAAATAAACATGAAATCTTCAAATACGTACACATCCATTGGTATGGTTTTGTCACCTTCATCATCAGAGTCATCAACTGTTACTATTTCAGTTTCAAACAGCTGGACATATGACCTAAGTAATAAATAAATCTTGGTTTGATTAACCTATTGTACATTCTGTTTTCCTTTTTACTTAAATGATATTTTTTATGTCTGTAATGTTAATATGAAGTTAAAGACATTTATGACACAACATATGTTGAAACCTCCAGGTTGGGTACTTGTCACCAATACGGATATTCAATTGAAAAAATACATGTAAAGTATGCTGGATTTTCGTATCATATCTTTGACAAAAATAAAAATAATCAACTATCACTAAGTTTGTCTGTTCTCAATATTGTCTGAGGGTTCAACTGCGAAACACATGACTTTGCCTGGATGATAATCTACTATCTAGGATGCATGCAATTGCAAGGTTAGATGATTCTACCATGTATAGTTATAACGCTTCACATACACAAATTTTTCTTACGATTGCTTACGAATCTCAAAACTTTACCAGATTCATAAAACTTTCACAAGCTGCTGATAGGGCATTAAACCTTAACCAATCAATCAAACCTAAATCTTGAATCAAAATCAAATACATTTGCAAAGTACTGGAATATATCCCAAAACAATCGGAAATGTATATTCATATACATCAAGAAAGAGGGGGGTAGGAGGGGTCCTGATCCCGAAATCCCGGACTTAAAAACACGAAATCCCGAGGTCCCGAATTTAAATAAAGTTAAATCCCGGATCCCGAAATTTGAAAAAAAGATTTCCCGGATCCCTATGTAGTAAATCCCGAAATCCCGAGCTTAAAAACACCCGATCCCGGAGTCCCGATAAAGGTCCTATCCCCCTCAAGAAAGTATTTATATTTATTCCTAAACTTGTGGCCAACCAATTATAAACTATACTCAATCATTTGTAATTGATTCGTAAAGCAATCGTATTCAATTACACACAAAAGACTTTTCACCATTCTTTAAGAATAGTGTTTGTGTTGTTACATTAAGTTAACAATGAAAATATCTTTTATTACGGAATACAATTCACCAGTCACTCGTTTCATATGACTTTAAAAAATTATGTGCAGTGGGCAAAGTGTATGGAGAGTGCCAGGTTCCATGCATGCTATTAATTTAAGATTTAGATAGTTTACTTTGAGATTATGACTAGGTTAAATAAGAACTTATCCCCCTCTCCCCATCCCCCCACTCGTTTTCCACATTTGCTGACAAAAACAAATCTATTATTCTGTCATCTTATTTTTATATACTTGAGTGACCATTATTATATCTTTGCATTGAAGAATGTATAAGGTTGTTGAAAAATCAATAGAAAATATCTCTAGGGGTGTGTTCTAATTATATAGAAACTGCGCCAAAGTCAATATCAATGAGCACCAAACTTCTTAATGTAAACACATAATTCACAAAAAAGCACAAAAAAGTTTCCAGTGAAACACACCCAGGTTGGTTTTCACATCCAACATTTTGTGACGAAAAAGTGCAGTATGGTACTTGAACTAAAGTGTGTATTCTTGTGGTTGTGTTGTGTTGTTGGGTGTCTAAGTTTCACTCGTACACGGACGACAAATGCCAAGTATACTCTTTAATAGGGTTACCCTTGAAATCTACTGGTAGCGTGATTAAGGGAATCCTGGTCACATAAATAAATAAAAGGATCCTGGTGCAGTCTGAACGAAGTCTTGTAAGTGAACATAAACACGAAGTCGAATAAAAGTTCAATACTGTATTATCAAAATCACATTATACAAGTATAACAAAATGTACATCTAACTTCAGGCTCAACAATACGGTTCTCCTCTCTACTCTACAAACGTAACTGTCCTCTCCTCACTATAAATTCTCTCTTTCTTATCTCACGCTCTTTCTCTCTTTTATATGACTCCTACAAGCCCGTATACAAATAGAGACTACTAGGGCAACCGGGCTCCGTGTAGTCCGTGCTCCGGAAGTCCGGGTGCTCCGGTAATCCGGGTGCTCCGGTGCTCCGGGCTCCTAGTGTTCCGTGCTCCTTACATAAACTTACTAGGGCACCATATGCAAATCATTAGGGCTCACTAGTCAAACAAAGAAATCTAAATATAACTCCTAATTAATATAATCTCTGATGATCTCTAACTGTATTAAATGGCTATGTGTGAAAATACAGATGTATGTAAACCTGATACAATCAGATAACACGCTTGACCTTACATATAAAAATGTTACAATTTAACGGAAAAAAAAAAAAATCAACAATCAGAAAATATAAACAACTCATCCAAATTTCTGTGTGCTGAATAAAATGTCATTAAAACAAATGATAGATACTTACAGAAAAAAAAGTTGTAAATTGACACTGTATTTTTTTCCACTTTCAGGTATGCTTTAATAAATTCGAGGAATAAATGTTGCATATGCTATGATATGGACATAAATGCATTTTTAGTTCCTTGTGCTCATAAATTTTGTTTTCCTTGTGCCACAAGGGTCAAGACTACAGGACAGCCCTGCCCAATATGCAGAACTGACATTACAAATGTGGGATCACTAGTAAGCAGTGACATGTAACAATGATGATAGTTTACTGTTGTATGGTTAATGTATGGTAGGATGCCATACATGTTTTCATGAAGAATCCTTTTAAGCTCACCTGGTGGCATCATTAGTAAGCAGTGACGAGTAACAATGATAATGATAGTTTTCTATTGTATTGTATGATAGGATGTCATACACGTTTTCATTAATGTTTCATTAGTGACCAGGCAATTTTATAGAGTAAAACGTATCATTTGGACCATTGCTTCTTTGACCGGAAGTAGATGGACATGCGGCATTTTCTATTCTTTAAATTTACTGGTCAACTTAAGCCAATGCTGTCCATGTGCTCCAAATTAATTCGCAGATCTCGGTATTTATCTCCTCACTTGATGTTTATATACTTTGCAGAAACCGTATAATTGCACCTCTTCATACTATAAACTACAAATTTATTATTTTACCTGTGTGACGTACAAAATGTAGTTGCCACGTCAGGTATATTCACACGATGAACAAAACACAAATACGCAAGGGATATATTATCTAGGTGTAAAGTTAATGTCACTTCGGCCTGCTACTGACGGGCTTATAATTGGAATTTTGTATAGTATATATGACATTTTAAACTTACACAGCTGGTAATCTACACACGCAGAACAATCGGTTCTGCAATGAAAACCGTGAGAGGATTTTCCGGTTATGCTTGAGTGGAGTAATTGTCACCGCTTCAAAAAGTATGTACATTTCTAAATCGCAATTTTCTAATTGCCCCCAAGGGTGACTGGGGAATAGAAATATGGTCACCATTGGTCTTCCTCCGACCGGCGGTAAAACCCTCGCTAAAGTGGGGCGTCCGTTTGGCTGTGCGGGATGTATAAGTTCGCAGTCACGTCCGGTCAGAATGGGGACGTTAAATCCGATGTCTCGTGTAAACAGAGAGCCACGCTCTTTGCACGTTAAGAACCCTTGCAACAACTCTTTGAGGGGTCCGTAGGTGACCTGTTGCAAGGCTAAATTTCTGTCCCTATCCAATATACCATCATTTCCCGTGGCAGTCTAAATTTCTCCGACCTCAATCCCAGACGCCTCTATTACATAACCTACCTTTTGTATTCATTGTTAATTTGTTCTCGTCCTGAATATGCATGAAATATTTGCCACTGGACGTTAAGCAACCAACAATCAATCAATCAATCAATCAATTTTCTAATTCAACTGATCAAAATATTGAAAATCGGAGAATGCTATGCTGTGGTGAATACTTTAACGAAGAGACACATGTATCATTTACTGTTGTGCATGGAGTAAAACTCCTACAAAATCAATCGTCCCACGAGTAATTGCCGAAAAAAGTGACATTTAAATTTTGAGATGGTTCTTTTAACAGACCTACAAGTTCAGATTTAGTTTTTTTTCTGTCAACGGGATTGAATGTCGTTTTGGGCGACGTGTACGCTGTCTGAAGGTGATAGACGTCTTCATAAATCTAAAAACTGCCAATTTTCATCATTTCATACGTGAGGGGATCGGTTCTGATTGAGGACATCGTGAATGCGTGAGGGGAAGTGCAATCATATCTTTATATTGAAAAATGCAACAATCACTTCAAAGAAAGGCGTGACTTTCATAGTTTTATTGAAGTTCATACTAAATATAAATTGACAATGGAAATGGAAATGGCTACAACGTAAATATCAGTGGTTTAGATTTTTGATTGACTTATGTTTTATTCTCGTGTGCATTATTAAGAGTGTAATGGCATCTCCTGAAATTGAACAAACAATTAAGTTAGTTTGATTTTATTGAATCAGTTATCAGTTTATATCTATTAAAGTATATAGAATAATTTTTGCTATTTAATTAGCATTGATCACAGTTATTGAGTCGAGAAAAGTCACAAGGCCAAAGATTAAAAAAATGTTTGCACTTCCCCTCACGCATTCACGATGTCCTCAATCAGAACCGATCGCCTCACGCATGAAATAATGAAAATTGACAGTTTTTAGATTTATTAAGACGTCTATCACCTTCGGACAGCGTACACGCCGCCCAAAACGACATTCAATCCCGTTGACAGAAATAAAAACTAAATCTGTACTTGTAGGTCTGTTAATAGAACCATCATAAAATTTAAATGTAACTTTTTTCGGCAATTACTCGTGGGACGATTGATTTTGTAGGAGTTTTACTCCATGCACAACAGTAAATGATACATGTGTCTCTTCGTTAAAGTATTCACCACAGCATAGCATTCTCCGATTTTCAATATTTTGATCAGTTGAATTAGAAAATTGCGATTTAGAAATGTACATACTTTTTGAAGCGGTGACAATTACTCCACTCAAACATAACCGGAAAATCCTCTCTCGGTTTTCATTGCAGAACCAATTGTTCTGCGTGTGTAGATTACCAGCTGTGACTTATTAATCGAGAAAGTAACAGAATTTGAACTTATTATTAAAACAATGTATGTAATGTTGTTATTGTAAAATCTCTTTAACATGCTTAAGGATTATGACCCCTTCTGTAACCA